GAGTAGAGAGAGAGAGAGAGAGAGAGAGAGAGAGAGAGAGAGAGAAAGAGAGAGAGAGAGAAAGCAGATGGATATTATTTTTCACGAACCAACAAATATGTATTCCGATTGCGTTCTGTTGAAGAGCGTACATCGGCTGGACTTATTGATTTATTCAGAGGGTGAACAACCACTACCACCACCACCACCATCAACCTTACTACCACCACCACTACCACTTCCACCACCATCATCATCATTGCTACCACTGCTACCACCACCCTCGGCCACCACCCTCCTTTTCCCCGGACGACTAACGTTGGGGAGCACACGCGTCATTGTCCTCGACCACTCTCACTATTTCCACCCCCCCCCTCCCCGGCGAAATAGCCTTGCAAAATTGCAGCTGATACCGTACCTCCAACAAGTTGTCGGCGAACTATCCCGTCATGCCGACCAATCAAGCGCCTTGCATAATGCACAGTGACAAAAAAAAAAGGAATTCGCCAACCGAAAGTTTGTGAATACGTAATGACTTAATAAGTAAATAATTTGCCAATTATTTACTTATTATTAAGTCATAATACAATAAAAATACAATAAAATACAATAAAAATACAATAAAATACAATAAAAATACAATAAAATACAATAAAAATTGATAAATTAAATATCTCAAAGAGAAGTGTTAGCTTGATCCAAACCTCTCCCCTCTTGTGACCATACGTGTCATTAATGCTCAGACACGATATATCCTTTTAGTTCCACTATTTTGTATTATTTTTTTTTTAATCCGATGCCTTTTAATATTTTATCAAGTAAATTTATTATGATCCACCTTTTTCCATTAGACCTCTTTTTTCATTAGGAATTCTTCAGAATTTTGGTTTTAAATATTTAAAACGGTGATGAAAAAGTGAAATATATATGAATAAGGCCGAGAGATAGTCGAGGTCAACGAACCTCCCGGCTCCCTCGACTCGACAACGTTACGAGAAATGTCGAGACAGCTCGGTACAGACTCTCTGTAAAACCTGGAAAGGTCACAGTTTCGTGTAGGTTAAGACCCCTTAAGGACGGATAAACACATATACGGTCCAACTGGTACACTCTGAACGGCAATCTATTCCGCGACTAGTTTATTACTCTATGTTCCTATTCCCCAGGTATGGGCCGTCTCTTTTTCTGACATTCTAGTCCTCTTCCTGCTCCTCCCTCGTCTTCCCTCTCCTCCCGAAGGGTCATCGGAGATCGTCGTCGCTCTCTTTCGTAAATATCGTCTTTCTCTTTTTATAAATATCTACCTTGAATCTTGTATGAAAAATTCACGCGAGAAACAACGTGTCGCGTGCTTGCACTTGGAAAACATTCCGACCGCCGCGGATTAGCAATATTTTCAATATGGCAAGTTTTTCTTGAGTAAAATCGGTGAAACGGGAAAACGCGTCTAGAAGCGTAGAAGTGCAGATCGGCGAGAGAAGGCAAGAAAGCGTAAACATTAACATCGCTTTACAACTGGTTGTACGAGTGTAATTGCGGAGATACCGACAGCCTTAAAATAATCGTAGAAAAATAAAAACGAATTATCTTTAATTGTGTGTTACCAGATCGTGGCAGCGCAGACACGCTCTCGGATGTTCTTCGAAAGTTTTTATTTCCAAAATCGATTATAACATAAGGCAAAACTGGAAACTGGATTATTATTCGTAAGAGGATTGCAGGATCTGCTTGGATATCGATCGTCGGAAAGACGAATGACGATAGGAAGCACGAGCTTCTTTCTCGCCGCCGTGGATTTCATTTCCGACTGACCGAGTTCCACGACAGATTCTACGATTTATTAACCGGTGGAAAGAGGCCGTATCTAACGATTGTAACTTTTCGGTTCTTAATAACCGGTCGTCTGTGTCATCCGACGCTTTGTCAGCACGTCCGCTGCGGGCACATTTAAGAGGACGATTGAGATTTCCTTCTCATTCGGCAAGGAAGCCATATTTCGGTCGTTGAGTCACGACCAAAAATCGATGCGACACTTTATAGACCTCGTTTAGAGAGCCGAAAAGAGAGTAACTAAATCCATGCTAACAATAGATCAGTTGAATATATATATATATATATATATACTGATAATTATTATTGGTAATATTCATGACGAGTGCAACATCAATTAATGTAAATAAAATTATGTATATATTTGCCATAAAATTTTGATAAAAAAGATATTTTGAGGAATGCGAAAAGATATTTTGCATATTCCTTGGTCATAATCATGATCTTTTTCTTTTTTATATTATTTTTAATGTACGTCCGTTATGTTTCAAGTTTGCGATAGGACGAATTCGCGGTGAAGGTGGAAGCATCGTTTTACTAGGAACAATGTGGCCGTTTTCCATTGTGAATAATTGGCGTAATGCATTATTACTTCTTATCCTCTTAAGTAACTCATCTGCCCCCGACGGAATCAGCGCTCGTTGGAGAACGCATTTACATTTGCGCTATTACGCATTTACACACGTATCTTCGATTTACTGTGTTTTTCACAAGTGCTGGACCAACGGAATGCGCCCTTCACTTTGTGTGAAAGGCTTTGCATGACTTCCTGCTCGATTGTCGTGTATTGATTCAATGATGCATTTTTTTTAATGCACTTTTATGCACTTGATTCATACATTCATCTTACTATTAGTTGAATTTCTTTATATTTATAATATACATATTTGCTATAGATTTTTTTTCGATATTCATAATGGATAGCGAATAATGGAATTTGGTAAAAAATTCTATTTTCAATAATATATGTAGCTATGTGCTTGATCGACTTGTATTTTCAATATATATATATATATATTATTTTTTTTTTCTGAGTTTGTATTTTATGTGTGTTTCTAATTTCGAATTATTTTTTGCTGTTGCAGGAAGTGGTAACAAAGATGGAAAAGGCAATAAGGATAATAATTCACCCTCTGGCCCTTATGCCGGTAAGTAACGTTCATCATTTCCTTATAATATTTTCATTATAAAAATTTCAAAATTTTTTTCGGTGATCATATTTTTCATCAAAATAGTCCCGATTTAACATAATTTTTCGAATGTGAATCTGGCGAAAAGAAAATATAATTAGAAAAACATAAAAATTTTCAAGTCAGGGTTATAGAAAATAATTACAAAAACATTTTTATACTCAGATATATTAATATCACTGGATATTTATTGTTTCTTGTGGTTATTTTAGAGTAATATATGCCTTTTCTTAACGAGAAAATGAGAGTTCTTTATCTCACTGTTAGGAAGTTAAAGAACCGCAGTGACATACAGCGTCGTGTGAGAAAATAAGTTGTCCGATTTATTTCGGTCGCGGATCCTCGTGGGCAATATTTCGACTGCTTCTTATTTGCTAGCTCTCATTCCCTCTCTCTTTTTTCTTTCTTTTCGGTAATGGAGTCCAATTCGAAAATAGCCAAGCAACGTGTTAGCCCCCTGGAAATGAAATCCTTCGGCGTCACACAATCCGTTTAAAGAAACAATGTAGCGAACCGTCGAGCCGCGAACTTGACGCCATATTCATTTTTAATGAGACTTAATAGAAACACTGTCAAAACATGGATTATGACTGAGGAAAATTCGGTGGAATCTGTTGTTCACGGCAGCAGCGTATATAAATTAAATATTATATAAAAGGAATATTATTTGAGTCAGGTGCGTTCCGCATTTCTTCCAAAAAACGCTATCTTTATGTTTGGTGTATACAATCATTACACTTAAATTACAATTATCCAGAATTATCTAAAAATTAAATTGAACGAATTTTGATTTCATTTAGCTCAAGTAGTAGCATTATTATAATACTGCTAAATTATTATTATAATTTCTGTAAAACAAAATTTATTTTTTTTTCGAATTCGAAAAAATTATTTTTCGAATCGCGAATTTACGAATTTGTATTTCCTGAATCCTTCGGAGAAGGATGCAAGATGTGTTCCGCGGCATTTGGTCTTAAATTTTAATTGCCACGCAAAAAGCGCTTCGGAAGCGCTCCTGTTACCACTGGTATAATCGTATACGATCTTTCCGTTTTATATTCCGTCCGTAACCGAATTTAGTGCGCATCGCGGCGTGGAATAACTATAGGATCATGGTGTGCTCCAAAATATCGCGGCCCTCCCTACGCGCCCGTTTCTTCATCTCCTCCGCTGTGGATCTATCTGCGCGTCTATTAATATTCGCCGGTTATTTTCGGAAACGGTACGAAGTAGGAAGGCCTGCTTTTTAATGTGCATAAAGTTACACCGTCGTCCTCGTGCATCGAGGCATTTTTCAGGGCGCGCGATATCGCTCTATCGTTGCGATCCAACGTCTCGATCACGAGTTGATACGTAGCGATTCGAGCTACGGAGGAGATTTTTTTTCCGATAACTTTGATGATGAAGATATTAAAATAAATTAACTTTATTTCAGCTTTTAAATAATTGAAACGATGATGAAAAATGTATATTATAGAATTTTCAATAACAGTTATATCGCGGTATATAAAACGTATCTTGTATTTGGTAGTTTTTAATAATTTCTTATAATTTGATAAAGATTATCGTATCGAGATGTTTTTTTTGTATTTCTATTGCACATTGTAGACAGAAATAATAGTTAAATCGTGTTGCTAAAATTACCTTTTTTACGTTGTTTCCGTTAATTAAAGTTCTACATATCTATTCGTTAATTCTTAATGTTTCATGGATATATTTTTTCTCCTACACATTTATTCCTTAACATTGAATACAAATAAAATTAAATCTATTTTCTGCATACTTGACATATCTTATCGATAAACTGTGTTAGCTGAGAGATAACGATCGCTTCGTTCTACAAAATTTGTGAGATTTTATCATTCACAAAAATATAAGTCGAGTTGTTAACTGGAAATCCGATATTTCCTAAAAGTTTAAAAATTTGCTCGGTAATTTCATTTTTCTGTCTGTTACTCTTGGATAGTGCATGAACATGAGAGTTTTCAAGTAAGAAAATATTAATAGCTTGACCGGCTTGGATCGCGTCCAATAATAGCAAGTCATTCTATATAACTGCGTTTACGTCTACATACAAGGACTGGATCCTCGTATCATAAAAATTTTATTAAAATTTTAGATATCAAGGTCTTAATAAAATTTCAAGGTGTCTACTCGTTGGAAAGAAAACTGAAATTCTCGGAGAACTTCTATTTTAATTTAATTCTCTTAATTAGAGAATCTCATGAAATTTTATTAGAATTCAGGAATGGAATTCCGGAAATTTTGCCTTTAAATTTTAATTTTGCTCCTCTCAAAAACAATTTTGGATCACTTTGCTTTTATCACGCAAGTCTTTGACAATCCATTAATCATCCAAATTAGCAGTCATTGGAATTTTGAATAAAAATACCTAAAAAGAACCGGGAATGTTCAGTGAAATCACCTTTTTACAAGATTCGAATACTTTAAAACTATTAAAAAATTTATCATCTAAAATTTATCATTTAAAAAAGCTCTCCATAAATCTAAAAAAAAAAAGGAAAAATTAAAAATTGAGTTTCTGAGCTCTCTTAAAGCTTATTAACGACGAGCGATTTAACTCGATGACTGAAACTACTACATTTTCTCGACTCGAATGAGAGTTTTCTCTTCCGTCGCTGTGCGCTATCACGGTGCTCGTAATCTTCTGAAACCGCCGGAGTCTCGGAGACGCGGAGGAGAGACACCTCTCCGCGTTTGGAACGCGAGGCATTCGCCGCTCCATCAGCTGACGGCTACGCGAGAATGACTTCATGAGTGGGTGAAGCGCAGGCTTCATTGGGAGTTTCACGTCCCCGGGAGAGGGGGAGGGGAGGAGGGGGGGCTTAACAAACGCGCTCGAGTTCGATGTCCTTTACCACGGAGGAATCGACCACGGGCAAGGTACGGGCCCGGCGGGATAGGGAGTCACGCACGACAAACATTCCGGAATACTGCGCGCGGGAGATCGGACACACCCAGGAGAGCCTGCGTCTCCACATCCTGTAGGTATATACACTATCGGTATTGATCCGCACGCACCGGCTCTCCTCCACGGCAGGGCCCCATCTTCTTACCTTCCTTCCTTCCTTCTCTCT